AAAAAAAAAACACAAACATCACATTTTTATTACTCTGATTCCTTTTAGGGTGTATCCATCGGGAATATTGCTGTAGAGATCATTCCAAAGCATAATTTCCTTCCAGAAAGCAAAATTATAAACCATTAGTTTGAGAGATCACAATGGAAAAGAGTTTTCCAGCGATGAAAAATCTATAAAAAACAGATCATTTAGCAAAACCAGCTAAAACCAGTACAAACAGGCCAAGACCAGGAAAGACTGATGCTTTTGCCTCTGACAGTACAACTGTAGTGACCAGCTGTATTCATGTACAGATTGACTAACAGGTCACATGTGGCTAACTATCAACACACAAACACACTGTATACTGTACCTGTCAGTGAGGGGGGAGGGGAGATGATCCCACTCCGTCTGCAAGAGCTGCTCCTCCAGATGCCGCTGTTCACTGCGCAGACATCTTCTTAACGCATACAGCTCATTTACAACCTCACTTCTGTACTCTGAAGAAAACAAATACAGTTAACCCCTTCAAAAATATGTGAGGATGGTATTAGCTAGTAAAAATTAAATATACTTCAAACACAGTGTCTACACCGGATGTGAGTGGCGCAACGTGACAAAATACAACAACATATTATGCTGTCTACACTGGATGCGGCGCGGCGCAACAAATTCCCGACAGTAAACTGCTGCTGTGTTCTATTTATGACGTACTGACACAAATTTAAAATGATTTTCAATGGCCGCTTTGTCGTGTCCAGTGTAGACAGATTTTAGCTGTTGCGGCACGGCGCGACACGACAACTGTTGCGTCCAATGTAGACAAGGTGTTAGTCTATGAACTAAAGACCAAAATACTTTAGGGATCAAATACTCGCAATGTTTGTAAAACCTGAAATCACCAAAATTTTGGGAAAATCAATTCTGTAAAGCTCAGGGTTATGGTGTAGTAAATATATTTAGATTAATATATAAAATCAAAAAAGCCAATCGGACAGCTCCATCATGATATGTGTGCACATGGATGAGTGTTTACTCTCTGTTCTCTGGTTGTTTCCGTTTTCTGGAGATAGAAGAGCCCGAAACGCAGAGAAATCCTGAAAAATACATAGACTTTAGTGAGTGAGAAGTCAACCTGAGTGTTTGCAATCATCTGAAGGAAAGACGACAGAGTTCTGGTAATTAGGCTGAGGGTCTGGTAACAAGGTCATGAGAAGAAAATCATGGTTGCCAGATCTGCATAACAAAACTAGCCAATGGCCAATAAACAATAGCCCAAAACTAACCCACTAACCCTATCCCAAATATCAAAACTCAAAATATACCATTCCTATAACCTAAAATGTATATTTTATAGTCACTGTTATGTGTTACACATAATTTTATACACATGAAGTGAACATGAGCTTTTGCCATGTTTGTTTGTACAAATAAATGTTGTGTTCCCAACCATTTTTGTTACCGTAGCCTTTGAAGGGTTGCGGTATTTCTTCTGTAGGGTAGGGATAGGAGGGGATGGTGCACGTTGAACCTAAAAATAAAAAAAAAAGATGACAATACTGTTACACACACTCACTACATCTAGAGAAATTTTCGGCAAATATAACTTAAATATACACAGCTTTTGAGATGTAGCTCACTCCAGTAAATTTCACTTTCACACACCTGTTGCAGTCGTATTTGTCTTTCTTGCTCTTCCTGTTCTCTTACAGCTGCTCTCTCTTTCTCTTCTTCTTTCTTTTTTTCTGCATCCCTCCGTCTCTCCTCCACAAGACGAGCGAGTTCTTCATTCTTCAGTTTTTGCTGCAAAAAGATAAGCTTACATAAAAGTCAGCAGTGCTGGTCACTGAGATGGTCTGAGGTCATCAGGAGTGCTCACATAATGCACTGGAAAATTAAACACGACGACATGCATTTGATGGCATTTCCTTAAGCACTTAAATTCCCTTTATTTGGATGGAAAATGTGATTTAAAGTGAACTATTATCATATTATTACACTGTGCATCACTAAAAATAAAACAGGCAGGAGTGCATGTGCGTCTGTCTGACCTCCATCTCTCTGCGTTTTCTGCTCTCCTGCTCCTCTTCATACTCTCTCCTGATTTTCTCTCTCTGTTCTGCCAGTCGCCTGTCCTCCCTCTCCTCCTCTGCCCTCATCCACTCTCTCTCCTCCGCCTGCTTCCTTTGCTTATCTTCTATCTAATGCCACACACAAAATTAAAAAATTAAAAATAAACACACACAAAAAAAATTAGGTTTATATATATAGGTACAATGGGATCCAAACATTTTAAAATTGAACCACACGGAAAATCTGTGATACAATATCTATAATTTAATATAAATATATGTATGAGTGTGAAGAGGCTGTGTGTATGTACACTACTGTTCAAAAGTCTAGTGTTGGTAAGATTTTATATATACATATATACATATATATATATATATATATATATATATATATATGCATTTATTTGGTCAAAATGGAGTAGAAACAGTAATATTGTGAAAAATAATTACAATTTAAACAACTGTTTTTAATTTTAATGTTAATCAGCAAAGCTACATTTTCAGCATCATCACTCCAGTCCGATTTGGTGCTTAAGAAATATTTCTTCTTATTTCTTCTAATATCTTTAAGAATTCTTAATACTTCAACAGTGACATGAAATGCTTCTGCTTAATATGTTTGAAGAATAGAACAGCATAGGAGTTCATAGCAACAGCATTTATTTGAAAAATAATTTTTTGTAACAACGTAAAAGTCCTTACTCTCACTTATGTTCAATTTAATGTATCTTTACTGGATAAAATATTAATAATAATATTATATTTTTCTAAAAATCCTACCAACCCGAAACATGAACAGTAGTGCATGTGTGTACCTGGAGTCTCAGATAAGCTTTGTATTGGTCTTGCTCCAGTAGTTGCTGGGGTGACAGCATCTGATTAAACACATTCCCTCTTGCAATCTGTGGAGTGTGTGTCTCAACAAAACCTTCAAATACACACACATTGAACTTGAGGATGTAAACATTCACTAAAGACACCATACGTGTTTGTATGTGAACACGTGTTAACATGTTACCTGGCCTCTCCAACCTTTGTGGTGGTGCTGCAGCTGCTGCATTCAAAAGATGCATCTTCAGATCAGCTACACACACACAAACACATCATTTCTATAGTCACATGTTCCATAACTAACAAGCTACAAGGAGATTAAATCATACTAAATAAATCATACTAATTAGATTTCCAGTGCTGTCTCTGAGTGGTGCACCAGCTCCGCCTCTTCCCCAGGGTTCATATGCTCTCATATCGGCTTCAAGTTCAGCCTCCAGTCTTCGCTTGTCCTCTCTGTCCACCCTCCTCTGTGTGGCCCGCTCCTCTATCTACTCACAGGGCACAACAACAAACAACCTAATAAGCTGGAAGTCTTCAAGAAGCATTCTATTTCTCTTTTTCCAAGTAGGAAGTTGGAATATATAAATGCAAACCCAACGTTAATGAAGACACACCCATTTTTTACTATGTCATTACAAAATACTGTTTAATATGCAATAAGGACACACCCCTCTGTGAATATATAATAGCACACCTGCTTTCTGAGCTCCTCTTTATAGCTGAGTCTGTCCATCTTTGCGTGATGTGCAGGAAACACTAAAAGACCTGAACTCACAACTTCATTCTCACCCACAATCCTCCTGAAACACACACAAGCACAAATACACCCCAAAAACAAGATGTGTATTAACTGTCTGCATATAAGCATATTGTTTAAAAGTGTGAGAAAAAAAATAGCTTAGATTATAAGTTCAAAACTAGCCCAATGGTCAATCATTGGGGATAGGGTCCAGTGACCCTATCCCAAATATCAATATACTCGAAATATGTCACTCCCATACCTAAAATACATATTTTACAGTCACTGTTTGTCTACATGATACCTTTTTATCCAACACTTAGATTGCTACTACTAGACAACTTTATCTGGTGTTACTGCCTGTTTCTAAACAACCACAAATTATGATCAGAAATGTGTCTGAAAAAAATATATAGTTCAGTCATGAAATTCTAGATGGCGCATTCTGACGGGTGTTAACGTAACTGATGATATTCAGAGAGTTAAACGACTTGGCACAAGCTGATTGGTTCATGCTGCATATGCAGCCAATGAGTTTACTGCCTTGCATTTATATGGCTGGCTAGCATTCACTTGAGATTCCTGCAGTGCGCTTTCAGAGTTCTCTGAAACCCTCCACCTTCCCCAGCTCCACCTGTATAGATCTGCTACGGTGTAATTTTATATGCTATTTGTGCAGCAGCAGTATGTCTTAAATACTCATGGCACCGTATCGCCATATGCATTGGCAGTAGCAAGTTCCTGTACTTGCTTGCAGCAGCAATAATCTACAACTACAGCAATAACCAACAGCAGCAGCAATTCAGCAGCAGCGTAGCAGATCTGTTCCGCCGAGACCATCTCCATGCTAAAATGTTTTGAGAGTTGTCATGATTGAATTGCTTTTTTGTGAGTGTCTGTTGCACTCTTACTGTCTGTGAGTGCTTCTACTGTGCGGACTGAGTGGGTGTGGCTCTCCTGATGATGTTGAAAAAGAAACTCCCGTTATTGGGTAATCTGTGGAAACAAACACAGAGTAATGACGTAGCACCAGTAGGAATATTATGCTAAATGGATTTAAAAATTAGTTTTCATGCCAAGTAGATTCAAGTGGTTTTGAATAAGAGATCCAGAATACCCAACACAGTGCCAAAATTATTTACAGCACAAAAGTAAGCAAATATGATTCATATGTACCCACTGGGCCTCATTTACGAAACGAACGTACGACAGAAAATTGGGTGTATGTTTCTAATGAGGTAACAATATAAACCAAATACTCCAGTCAGACTATTTTGCATGAACACACACCTCCTCCTGTGACTCTGTTTCTCTGCGATTTGTTCCTGTAGTTCACACCTATAACATTCCTTTTTCCTCTGCAGTGCTGCCTCCAGATCCACTGCACCTGTCAATCAAAATCAGCCATGTCAGAAGCCTGAGCCTTAATATCAGTTAAATGGATGAATATCCTGTCATCATTTTCTCACCGTCATATCGTTCCCAAACCGTATGACTTTCTTTCTTCTGCAGAACAAAAAAGAAAGAGATTTGGAGAACATTGTGAACCAAACTATTTTGGCGCCCACTGACTTAAACTCAAAATATCTTCTTTCTTTCTTCCACAGAAGAAAAACAGTCATACAGGTTTGGGACGACAGTTTGTGATGGTGAGTAAATGATGACAGAATTTTCATTTTTGGGTGAAGTATCCCTTTAAAATCAAATCAGAATCATTCTCCATTGAATGAAGCAATGAAACATCACTTCTCCAGTTATTAAGCCAATCAGAGCAGTAACAAGGTAAACTCATACCTATTAAAAGTCCAGTGGTGCAAACTGTGTCCTGACTGGCCACAGATAGAGATCTTTCATTGGCTTGGGTCGCAATGGATGTTGACATTCTACAACAGTAACATGAACAACAATGAAGAAGAAGAGATAAATGTGAGTCAAGCCATTCTGCCACTCAAAAAAAAATAAACTAATTAAAACTGCCAGTTTGCCAATCTAATCAGTGTGTGCATGTTTTACCTGTTTCTGTGCTGTAGTTTGCTCCTGTGATGTCCTGTCTCTGTGTACAATTCCCCTCTTCTTATGAGAAAGAGAGAGACAGAGGTGTTAATTTATATATATAAATATTCGTGACACGAGTCACCAGTTCTAAACATCTCTCCCTCTGTCTCTGTCCTCACCTGTTTGCCGTCCTGGTGTCTCTCTCTCTCTGATGTCGCCTCCCTTGCAAAAGCATGAGTTCTTCATCACTGCAGTCTTCCTCAGAGCTACACACGCCCCATCCCAGCCCACACACCTCTGTAAGGGTGGCCACATCCCTCACACGGACCGTCTGAAAAAGTGAGCGGGAGAGATTTGCCCTTACAAAACAGTGCTTTGGCAGAACCATAGTACAGTGATAATATCAGATGGTAATATTATGGTAATGCATGATACACTAGCAGGTGATGTTGCTTTTCTAATGAAGTAGTTCAGAAGTAGGATGCGATGGTGGAGAGTTGGATAGCATCAAAAACACATTATTACAATTGTGCCATGTAGTAAAAACATGGTAATACAATAATACTTTTTAGTAAGTTTAACATACATCGCAGAAGTGAAATTTCAACCTAACAAAACTGTGTTGTACCGAAGGAGGGAAAAAGAAACAATCATGCTTTTGACCCAATACTGTACCCTGGGTATTCGTCTTCTCTCTGGAACGGTGTGAATGTCACCAGTATCCCAGTGATCTTTCTGCAAGAGACAGAAAGTAAGTGAGAAATAAAGAGTTGGTCTCATTCACTAAACATGTGTACACAAAAGTTTGATGCAAACATTTTCACAATCAAATTGCGATTCACCAAAAACAGTCTAATTTACGGGAAAAATGTAGGAACCACATGTAACTGAAACCACACATATGCAAAATCACATACTCTGGGTGGCCTTATATTTTTTCCCCCATATTATAGAAGTCAATGGCTGCTGTCGGCTGTTTGGTTACACACATTCCTCAAAATATCTTCTTTTATGCTCAACAGATGAAAGGAGCTCACAAAGGTTTGGAACAACATGAGGGCCAGTAAATGATGACAAAATTTTCATTTTTGGGTAAACTATCCCTTTAAACATGAAATTACATAAATGTTTATTAATATATTATTTTAAGTATACAGAAAAAAGAAAAGCTGTGTTAAAGCTCAAGATGTGAGGTTTCTCTTTATAACAATGCAGATACGCGTATGTACAGCTGTCTAATCAGAGGTCTGTAATATGGGTCTGTATAAAAGTTTCCTATTGTGTTTGAAATGGTTTTGAGGATGGCACGCTTGCCATTGTGTCTCACCCCTGCCATGTATTTCCTGTAATCATTCCTGAGTTCTTCTTGCAGTTTGTGTTTCTTTCTCTCATATTCCTCTCCGAGTGGCAGACTCACACCATCTACATAATGAAATTACACATACACACCTTTAAAACCAGGTATGCATTTAACAGAAATGAATTAACAACCATATTAAATTGCAAACAGTGCTGTACCTTGCCGACTTGTGCGTAGAGGGATGTCCTCTTTCTGGAGAACGTGGCCTGTCCGCCTCTGACACATCAATATTTAACAACATTACAATGAAGACCAGTCACATACATTCTCTTTATCCCCATCATTAACTCTCTCTCACCCTCATCTCCATGTAAGGGGGCCCCTGTTCCAGACATGCCTTCTCCTCTGCTATCTTTGTTTTCTGATCTTCCAGAAACTTCCCCAATAACTCATCCATCTGGAACACATACAAATGTTAATGCAAAGCACATCAAACATAAACTGCAGCTCTACAGCGCCACCTGTAGATACATATAGCTTATTTTACATAAATAATACCAGTAATTCTTTCCAGCAAAGTCCCATTAATTAATGCATGTAATAACTAACAAGCAATAATATAAAATTACAATTAGTTAATAAAAATGTATTGTCAGTTTATGCCAGCTCAGGTCCATTACATAATATTAACACAACCTCAGCTTTTAATATTAGGCTACTCTAGAAGTATTTTTGTAGTTCGTGTTAACTAATGTAGTTAAGCTAAATTTATAGGTACAAAAAAATATAGTTATTAATAATGAAAATAAGAGAAAAGAAAAATAGAACACAATAAGCAAGAAGTGCATAAAACAAGTATCAAATATGCAACAAATTATGACCTTTTTAACTTAATATTTCAGCCATGTAATCTAATGGAATGACATTCAGACATTTTCAAGGTCTCCAAATGCTTATGATCGATGAACCACCCTTAAAAAATACTTTTAGTGCACACCTCTCTGAATTCCTTCTTGTGCTGAAACTCTGAATCTGAACCGCAGTCAAGCCAGACTCCACTTTGAAAAACATCTTCCACTCCACAAAAGAACCATTTGATCAGATCACATCGATAATAGACACGGTAATAAAAGTTACTAAAGTGCGTTGTTTATTTACTAAATCGAAGGTGTTATCTGATACAAACTCTATTCCGAACTAATAATCTCAACAGAAAATGTACTGTTTCATTAGGTAAAGGTAATACATGTGTCATCTGATATCTCGATCTGTTCATATGTTGGAAACAACCGCTGTTTTAAACAAACTGTATATTTATCTAATATGTTAATCGGTTCATAATCTGATTTCACTGATCCCCGGGTTGCATCGAGTAGAAACAGGGCGCCGCTACTCTACTCTACTCTACTCTACTCTACTCTTCTCTTCTCTTCTAGTCTTCCTTTCCTGTCTTTGTTCGGTCGTGACGTTTTTTAGGCCAACCCACTGAACCCGGAAGAAGCCATGGGTTTAAAATAGAGGTTTTAAATCTATAACAAATACATTTAAAAAAAGAAAATAAATCAAATTACCTTCACCCATTCACCCTGTTCATTGCACACCATTTGTTATGTATGTGTATAATTTATGAAAAACGTTCTCACGTGTAGGCTACAAATAAACTCACTATTCACGTTCTCAATGTTTAAAATTCATCACAAGAGAATTATGTTTTTTCTCTGAAAGTCATTTACATTTCCTCTACAATATATTTGATGTATTATGGCATTCTGTAATGGATATTACATTTTAGACGTTTTTGGGGTGGGGGGAAAAACTAGTCAACTCACTAATTAGTCTAACGAGACTAATTTTAAAACTAGCATCTTATGTACTATTTAGCATACTCTTTATGACATTTTTTTGCATAATTCAACGAAATTTGATTTATTGGAAAAAACTTAAAATTTAAAAAAAAAGTAATTCTGTCATTTTTCTAAAAGTTATGAACATTTCCTCCACATGGCAAATAATGCATTATGTTTAATAGCATTTTGTAATGGGAATTGTAATTTATACTGTTTTGAAATAAAACGGCCAGCTTTATTGTAAAGCTAATTGCATAACTAGTTTTACTTTTTTATATATATACTGTAATTTACATAATTCAACAAAAATACTGATTGAAAATGAGGCACAATTAAAGGATTGCATTCACAATAGCCTATTAACTTTGTTTTCTTCACAAATCACATGTTCAGTATCAAGCATGATGTTGTCTCTTTTGGCAAAAAAGATAATTATCTCAACAAAAAAAAAAGTAATTCTGTCATTTTTCTAAAAGTTATGAACATTTCCTCCACATGGCAAATAATGCTATAATGAATAATAGAATAATAAAATGAATATGTTTAATAGCATTTTGTAATGGGAATTGTAATTTATACTGTTTTGAAATAAAACGGCCAGCTTTATTGTAAAGCTAATTGCATAACTAGTTTTACTTTTTTATATATATACTGTAATTTACATAATTCAACAAAAATACTGATTGAAAATGAGGCACAATTAAAGGATTGCATTCACAATAGCCTATTAACTTTGTTTTCTTCACAAATCACATGTTCAGTATCAAGCATGATGTTGTCTCTTTTGGCAAAAAAGATAATTATCTCAACTCGACGATAATTTAATTTATAAATATTAGATCACATTATAATAAACAATATTATTTGCTATAGCTTATGCAACATAACATTACATTTTATCTTTTCAGCCTGTGAACTTTAAGTACTCGTCTTCTACAGAGAAAGAGAAAGAAACAATCTATGAAACGGTGTATGTTTTTATAAAACAGCTGCAGTTTATTCTCACGCCCATGTAGAGATTGCTGACCTCAATAAACACAACACAACCTTTGGCCTTCTTTGTATTGTGGATATTGTAGTTTTGTTAAAGTCACTTTTGTTATTTTATCGTATGATTCGTCCCAGTCGGTAGTAAACAAATATTGCATTTCGTAAAAAAAAAAAAAAGAAAGAAAACCCAATAATTTTTGTATAATATTAGAATACATTTCAATCATTTTTAAAATAATGTCGTTGGAAGACCTGTGACGATTCAGAACTTCATCTCCCAGCATGCCTTGTGCTGCCCATAGGGTCACACTGTGTTACAGAACCGCTTCCGTGTTGTGTTTGTTACTGGAAAACAGAAACTGCGTGAGGTGACATAATTTTCTATCGCCCGTCACTGCTTAGACAGCGATGCTTTTGTAAACCGCTGCGTCAGAAGTGATATTAGATTGGACTATGTCGTTGATTCCGGGCTCGAAGCAGAAGGACAGGCGCATTTTATGCGGGATGTGCCCGGACCCGCAGTGCCAGGCGAAGCTCTTCTTCCCCGCACACTCCTCCATGAGCATCGAGTGCACTGAGTGCGGCCAGAGACACGAACAGAAGAACCTCGCGAATGTGGAGGAAGTGACTGACCCAGATGTAGTGCTTCATAATTTGCTGAGAAATGCTTTGCTGGGTGTGCCAGGCCCTCCTAAAAAGGGCTCAGAGCTGGTGAAAGTGATGGGACTGTCCAACTATCACTGCAAGCTGCTGTCTCCCATCCTCACCCGCTATGGCATGGACAAACAGACAGGCACTGCCAAACTCTTGAAGGAAATGAACCAGGGAGAGATCTTCGACTGCTCGCTTCTTGGGGACCGTGCATTTCTCATCGAGCAAGAGCATGTGTCCACTGTTGGGTATGGACGGGACCGGTCAGGAAGCCTGATCTACCTGCATGACACTTTGGAGGAGATCAAGAAAGCAAACTTAAATAGAGAGTGTCTTATTCCTGTGCACGTGGACGGAGACGGACACTGCCTGGTACACGCCGTGTCCAGGGCATTAGTTGGACGTGAGCTCTTCTGGCATGCCCTTCGAGAAAACCTAAAACTCAATTTCAAGCAGAACTTAGGCCGCTACAAAGCCCTTTTCCAGGACTTTATAGATGCCGCAGAATGGGAAGACATTATTAATGAGTGTGACCCGTTGTTTGTCCCTCCAGAAGGTGTTCCGTTGGGCCTTAGAAACATTCACATATTCGGCCTGGCGAATGTACTGCACAGACCCATTATCCTGTTGGACTCCCTGAGCGGCATGCGCAGCTCAGGCGATTACTCCGCCACCTTCTTGCCAGGCCTGGTTCCAGAAGAGCAGTGCCGAGGAAAAGATGGCACTCTGAACAAGCCCATCTGCATTGCCTGGAGTAGCTCTGGCAGAAATCACTATCTACCCCTAGTGGGCATCAAGGGCTTGCCTTTGCCCCGTTTACCTGCTGCACTGCTCCCGAAAGCTTGGGGTGTTCCTCAAGAGCTGATTCGCAAATATGTGAGCTTGGACTCTAATGGAAGCTGTGTGATCGGGGGCGACCGGAGCCTGCAGGATAAATACCTGCTGCGGCTCGTAGGCGCAATGGAGGACGTCTTCATGGACAAGCACGGCATCCACCCCGCTCTAGTCGCTGACGTCCACCAGTACATATATCGACGCACTGGAGTGATCGGCGTGCAGCCTGAGGAGGTGACGGAAGCGGCTAAGAAATCCGTTCAGGAGGGTCGTCTCCACCGCTGCCTTGTCTGCAATGCCCTTTCAGAGCTCCACGTGCCAGCAGAGTGGCTCATCCCGGGAGGGAAACTCTACAACTTGGCCAAGTCGACTCACGGAACGCTACGAGCGGACAAGAACTACAGCTTTCCTTTAAATAGTTTGGTTTGTTCCTATAACCCAGAAAAAGATGTGCTGGTGCCCGACTACAAACTCAGCACACTCACGGCCTGCACCTGGTGTCACGGAACTTCAGTGCGGCGTGTTTGTGGCGATGGCTCTGTGGTCTATTTGGATGGAGACCGTACCAACACTCGCTCACAGGGTGGGAAGTGTGGCTGCGGGTTCAAACACTTCTGGGAGGGCAAGGAGTACGAAAATCTTCCCGAAGCTTTCCCCATCACTCTGGAGTGGGGCGGCCGCGTGGTGCGAGAGACCGTTTATTGGTTCCAGTATGAAACGGATCCGACTCTCAACAGCAACGTTTACGATGTGACGATGCGACTCGTCACAAAGCACTTCCCCGGTGAGTTCGGCAGTGAGATTCTGGTCCAAAAAGTGGTGAACACCATCTTGCATCACACCGCCAAGAGGAGCCAAGACGAATACAATCCAGTGGCCATCGAAGGTGCTCATGTGCAGGATGTTAGAGACGGGAGTGAATCTGCCACTCACCCTCCTACTAAAATCATCCTGACAGGACAGAAGGGCAAAACCCTGCATAAAGAGGAGCTGGTGATGAGCAGAACCGAGAGGGTCTTGCAGCACAGCATCAGCGAGCAGGCGGCCCTGTCCCAGCGCCGCAGCACAGACCGCTTGCGTCAACAGGATCCTCGCCTGTCATTTCCTTCCTCTTCATCATCCTCTGCACCTCCCACACCCACCAAAGTGCCGCCCACCAGCGGAGAGAAGAAAATCCGTGTAACGACCAGCGATGGGCGGCAGGCCATGCTTACGCTGCAACCGCACACCACCTACGGTGAGCTCCAGAATTCCATCGTCCAGGTCTTCAGCTTGTCGCCCGGACAGCTGTGCATCCGACATGGCTTCCCACCCAGAGAGCTGCCCCCGCCACGTCCCGAGGACCAGAACCAGCCCGTGGCGCTTCAGCATGGCGACCGCATCTCTGTGGAAGCGCTGAAAGAGAGCTCGCCCGATACTCCCATGACCCAGATGCACTCTCACACGCCTGAAACGCACGCTCACTCTGACTCACGACTCAGCCGCACCAGTAGCAGGGAACTTCAGGACAACATTGACCTTGAGATGTCATCACTGTGTCTCCTGGCAGCACTTATGGGTAAGACACACCCTCCTGTTATAGATCTGCTTTATGAGAAGACTGTGTCATACTAGAATCAACATCTCTATTTAAGTGTGTTTGTGACTCTGGATTGTATGATACAAGCCTATTTATGTAATTTACAAATCAGGATGATTCTTCTGTAATTTCAGATCATGTTTAATTATTGATTACTAAATGTCTGTGAGGCCTGTCTATTTAATGTTTTCTCTTCTCCTCTCTCTTGTTCTGTTTCTCTCAGGTGAAGATGTCTGGTCATATGCCAAGAAACTGCCTCATCTGTTCCAGCAAGGAGGAGTCTTCTACAATATTGTGAAGAAAGACATGGGTAATCTGTCTTTTTATCACTTTCTCACACAATTTGAATTGAGTTTTCAAAATTCTAAATTGTGCTTGTCATGACAAAGACTATATGTCTTGCCAAAAGCGTTTGCAGTAACACTGTATTGTGAGAGTAGGATTTGAGAACCGGTTCTTATTCAGAACTGGTTTTATTTTCTTAAAAATACAGACTAATTTTCAGTGGTTGTGGTGTGGAAGTGGTCCTCTGTTAATCCAGACTTTTGTTTGGTCTGCCACTGGCTGATAGAGGCAATGCAGTGGAGTTAAAAAATAATAAAATTTAGATTAACTGTACATGCCCGGTAGTCTGAGAAAAGTAGTGAAAAGCTGCTATTTTGCATTTTTAAATTAGGATTTTTTAAATTTAATTTAATAAAAATTTTCTTTACAAATTATACTATCAGCATAACAATTTAAGTGAGAAGTTGAAGTGAAAAGTTAACACATTTTAGAATATCTTAGTATTTGGTTTGTCCCTCTTTCTGGTTTACTGTAGCTCAAGCAGTAGAGTATGGCGCTAGCAATTGCAAGGTTGCAGATTTGATTCCCGGGGAGAGCAAGAACTGATAAAAAATTTTTTTTATTATTGTGTACCTTGATTGCAGTTTAAGTCGCTTTGGATAAAAGTAAATGTTAAATGACAGCAGGACTCAAGCTGCATGAACTCCACAGGTTTGTTTAAAACCTGATGATGATCATGTTTTCCAGCATGAAATGATCTTGTGCTTCACTAGATTCAAGAACATCTAACCTTTCGCATCGGAGTTCAACTTGTCATTGTCACAAATGTATTTAATTTGATGTGACGTAGAATTAGTTCAGAATCTGAAGTATTTCTTATTCAATTTTATTTTCCTTTAAACCTTAAAACTTTTTGTTTTTTAGTTTGTTTTTACAAATATATGATATGCCTTCCGAGCCAAAAATATCTTTTATTACTGTTTCTGTTTTATTTTTTGGCGTTTGCTATTCCACAAAAATGCATAAATTGCTATACATATTGTCATATTTGTGAGAGCATTAGAGAAACTAATAAACTGTATTTCTGTGTTAAGGTCTGTTGGACGGGAAGCATTGCACACTGCCCCATTTGTTGGGTAAAACGTTTGTGTTCAATGCTGCGGAGGAGCGTTTGGAGCTGTGTGTGGACACAGCCGGCCATTTTCCAGTGGGCCCTGATGTGGAGGAGCTCGTCCAGGAGGCACTTTCCCAGCTCCGCTCAGATGCAGCCTCCCGTAGCCGTGAGGGAAGCCCCGTACATGGCTTGCGATTGGGCGCTGGTGGTGCTGTGCGCAGGAAAGAGCAGACCGTCACGGCCTTCCAGGGCAAAGGTCACTCGTTGGGTTCTGCCCCTCCTGAACACCCACCAATCAGGCGGCAGCACAGCAGCGGCGTGGATCTCAGCAACAGCGCTCGAGGTGAAGAGATAACGTTGTCAGGGGAGGAGTTGGTGCGCGTTGCCCCAGGCATGCTCACTTTACGTGAGGGCCGCGGTTTAGGGCTGGAGCCCGCCGTGATCGAGGCCCAACGGCAGCGCTTGCAGGAGATGGTCTCAAGCATACAAGCGTCCATGGACAAACACTTGCGCCAGCATGCTACAGCAAGGCATGATGTGAAGGAAGAAGAGGCTCCTGACAAACAGGAGGATATGGAAAGTCACGGTGCGGAGCCTCCCAGCACCTTTGAACCCATGGACCAATCTTGATACTTCATTACCCATATAGCAGAGTGAGCTTCCTGGCATAACACACACACACACACACACTGTGATTCAACTAAGAAATAATGGTGCAGCCAATTTACATATGCATCGTTTGAGTGTGAAACGCATTCCTTAAATATTCTCAGTCTTAAGATGTGAAATTTGGAGTGATTATTACAGGACTTGAGTGTCTGCTTTCATTCACCTAAAATATATACATGGTGCACACTAATTTAAAGAGATAGTTCAACTAAAATCGAACATACTGTTATTCATTTACTCACCGTCATGTCATTCCAAACCATTGCCTTACTTTTTTCTGTGGAACACAGAAGATCTTTGGAGAAGATATTTTGAATGTTTCGGTCCATATAATGAAAGCCAGTGGGGTCCAAAATAACATTGGACCCAAAAGTCTTCTTTTGTGTTTTGCAGAAGAAAAAAGTCATACGTAATGGTATGAGGGTGAGTAAATGTTGACAGAATTTTTATTTTTGGTTGAACTATCCATTCAAGATCACCCTTGAGCTTTGCTAGTATTCACATAGTACTTAAATAATCAAAGTGCACTTTGACCCTCATTGCTGGGTTCACAGCTTTCTAACCAACTTAAAAATTCACAATCCAATTTGAAACACTGACTGTCTCTCTGAGTCTAAACTTCAGCCCTGCATCTGTGTGCACTTAATAGGTAACAGGGTCTTCTTGATCATATGTTTGTGTCCTCAACACACCTCTGGCCTATGGAACAAACAGGTATCAATTCAGTGATATGGTCATCTTTTTTTGCTTCTCTACCCTGTGTTACCCACAATTAATTGCTGTCTATCCAAAGAACACTATGTGGTAAAAGCCTGGAAAAGAGTTCCAGCAGCATTTCACGTTTACTTAATCGTCCCACTACACACTTAGAGCTCAGCAGACCAGCATGGAGTATCTGTACATCTGAGAGCCAGTTTCTGTTCTGTAATCTCCGATTGGCCTTTGAACTTGTCAGTGTTGCCTTTGTTGCGGCCCAGAGTCATTCAGACTCGTCATTTGGTTTTACTGTAACATTTTGCATGTCCTGTCTTCTTTAAACACTGTTCAGTACAAGACAATTCATAGAAGTTTACTTAGTAGCGGAATGTAATGTAGACTCTGGTAAATTCTGAACAGAAAGTAGCAGAGTGGGTGATATTTTCAGGATATTCTGAGTTCAGCGCTGTAGTAATATTGTTACCTGTGTGTTAGGCCATACTAATATGCTGAAGTAGAGGGCAATGTGCGTCAAGGACGGTTTAAGAGTTTTCTTTTGAGTTCATTAAAAAAAAACGATATCCATATTCTGTTCTAGACAGATTTTTCTTGTCACCTTGGCAACTGATTCATAAAAAAACCCCAAAAAAAGTAAACCGTTAATAGAGCTGTTGAGCTTTGTCACTGGGTAGAGGATAAAACCGATGGAAAATCCTAGAGCTTTATCTATTGAAACTTTGCTGAGCTGTTGCATTTAACCCGGCATTGCCAAAAAACTGGTGGCCAAACCTGTTGTTAACAACCTTAATGAGTCTTCTACCCTCCCCGGCTCTGATCTGCAGTGTTTGTGCGTGACACACTTCTGTATGACAGAGGATCCGATCTGAGAAGAATAAACTGGTGTATTGGAACGAGGCCTGACTTTGGTCCAAGGCCAAGTGAAGCATGATGATGGAGGCTTGATGAGTTTTTGATTTTAAAACATTGGTTTTTGATTTTTAAGTTGGCAACATCTATACCAGAGCACTTTTCTGTGTGGGTGTGTTTATTCGCTCTTGAACATAATTGATATTGTTGGTGTAAAGAGCAGCGCAAAAGAAATGTTTTACTGCTTCATGTAACACAGACTCAAGCGCAGGTTGTTTCTTTGTGACTGCTGCCCTCTTGATATATTGTATTCCAGTGTACAATAGTGGTATATATTGTATTATACTTTCATCTGTACAGATATTGAATCTGCCCACCCCCTGCCTTCCTTCTGGATTGTTTCTCTGTCTTTCAATAAAACAGTTGGATGATTCTACGCAGCTGATGAATCTGCTGTTTGCATGCTTGATTACTTTTCGCCTAATAACAATAAAGTTATTCCATATGTATGAAACGATGTGGCCGCTGTTTCTGAATCACTTTCTAATGCAGTTTTCTATTATCTCTAATAGGTCACTATAGAGTACACCACATCAATGTGAATTAGTGGTATTACTTTACTAGAAGTTTGTATATGTTAACATTTAATTTAATGCCAACATGAAATAATTAACAATACTTTCCATCTTGATTGATGTTAAACTGTACATAAACTACTGTTCAAACTATTTGGGGTCAGTAAGGTTTTTGAAAGAAGTCTCCTTTGCTCACCAAGGCTGTATAAATATAAAAATATAGTAAAAATGGTAATATTGTAATATTGTATTACAATTTTAAATTAGTTTTCTATTGTAATACATTTTAAAATGTAATTTGTCCGTTATGAAAAAGCTGAATTTTCATTGCTCTAGTCTTCAGTGTCACATGATCCTTTAGAAATCATTCTAATATGATTTGGTGCTCAAGAAACATTTCTTATCACTGTTACAAATCTTTTGTAACATTATAAATGACTTTAATGTCATTTCTGATCAATTTAATGAATCCTTGCTGAATAAAAGTAATTACTTTTACAAATTAAATATTACTGGCCACAGCCTGCTGAGTGTATACTAATTCATTTTTTATATTTTTGGTTGTAAAAATTAATGTAACAATGTATCATGAACAAATGTGTACAATAGTACATGTATTGTTATTAACTTCCATAAATTCTGAAGAAATTGTTCATTGTTAGTTCATAATACATTCACAAATTAAACCTAATTGTAACGTATTACCAAATTGGAGTTGATATTTTTCTCCTAGTTAAGCTTGATGAAGCGATGATCATTATAGCCTGTGAATTACAAAATGATTTTTTATTTCATTAAATTTTGTAGCAGTCAGAGCTATGTGCCAACGTCCTCGAAATACAAGCTAAAAAGGGTAAACACCATCATTTAATTATTCATACCATAGAAAATTACAAATTTGGGAAAAAAACAATAATAGTTTAGTTTAGATACTTCGTGATTTGTTATGGTCTGAGGTGTGGTTGAAATGACATTGTATCATTTTTATGTATTACGCAGAATTAAAAAAAACATTCAGGGTGAAATAAAACCAAAAACAAAAAAAATTGCTGCTCTTAAAATGGAAATCTAAAATGAACATACACTAAAATGCTAGCAACACTAGCATTTTAATATAAACATTGCATATATATATATATATATACATATATGTACACATTTATAAACTAATAACAATTTCTCATTGTAGTCTTTCTGTATTATTAGTCAAAACATACATATCAAATACATTCATAGGTGAAGAAGAGTGTGACATTTCCAATCAAAATCACAATATTTACATATTTACATGGGGCAGTAATGGTTAAGATTCTTGACACCAGTTGCAGGTTCAGTGCCACGAACTGGCTACGAAGTTACTGAGGCCCCAAACCCTAATCAGGACACCGAACTTGTTTTATCTCCAAATCTGAAGGAGTTGCATACAGACTGAACTTTGCTGTCATACTTGTCCTATTTTCTGCTGTTCTGTGACCCATTTAGAAGAGAAAGGTGGAGCTCTAGGGTTGGATGCATCAGTCAGGATGAAATGCAGGATTGATGGAGCCGATCGAACGTACAGCATGTCCGTCACTACGTCGACGAGAGAGCAACCACTGAAGCAATCGAGGGGAACCTGGCACTCCTGACAGAGACGCTCGCCGCGGCAGTTTCAGAGAACGCCCTCTAGAAACACAAACACCAGTGATCACACAACACGCCAAAAACAAATCAGAGTTACACAACATCATAAATACTCACCCAGAGCAGCCAATCCGATCATTAGATGACGTTTGTGTAAAGCTCTGCGATGCCTGAGTCACAATGGGCCTCAATGACTCCTGCTTCTATACATATATATATATATATATATACACATTCATTACTGTGCGTATGTCTTATGAATATTAGATGCTTCAAAAAACATTTGTTTTAAGATAGGTAATTATATTTTTAGCTGTAGTGTGCCAGTAGGAAAAGTCAATTTTAGGTTTCCGGTTTGTTTTTAATGTTCCAAGCATCTTGGAGAAGTCAACACAGTTTTGATCTAGATTTAGGCCATCTCAGTTGATATTGATATGTCCTACTGACACACTAAAGCAAATTATATAAATAATCATCTTAAAATGAAGGTTGTACAAACAAATGGAGTAGAAAGCCTTTCTAGAAGACAAGAAGCTGTTACAGCAGCAATGCGAGCACCAACTCCCTATTAACCCTTATGGAAAAGAAGTGTGCTTAATTATATTGAATGTGCACTACTGCACTTGTAGTGTACTTCAAATCTTAGAAGTACATTTAAAAAAAACAATATTGCAGATAATACAATATTAATTAAATAAAGGCCACTTTACTATACTTAGAGTATACTTTCATGACTATGCTTCTTATTACACTTAAGCATTTTGTTAATAAAGTGCCCAATTTAATGTCAAATTAAAAGTAAATTTTAAATCATTATGTTTTAATAATCTTTTGTTGTGCTTTAAAGTACACTTATTTTGATGTGTCGTCTAACATCCTAAAGCACATGTAAAGTACTTGATTATAATGTAACACAGGTGTATTATTTGATATTATATTTCAAGTTAATATATTTTAAATTGACTAAACTTCAAGCTCATCATTACAAATGTATTTACAAATATATTTACGATCATAACGTTCAAGTTTCAATAGAAAATACTTTCACATTTATTTTAGTTTACCATAAATACTTGTCAGTACATTTGGCAGTACACTTTAACCATATTTCAAACACAACTGAAGTATTTAAGACATTACATATAAACAAGTCCTACTTATATGAGTCCAAAAAAGCACTCTTAAGATCAAATAACTGCGTCTAATATAAATGTAAACTATAATATTTTCATTTAATTGCAAATAACATGCAATTAACTGTCAGAAAACATTACAGTTTGCACCCAAGTATAGTATATTGTAGTAGGTTTATTCATTCCAGAATGAGAACCAATTTATTCTCTTAGGCCATGTGGTGTATCATTTGTGCATCGTACGTGTTTGAGTGCATGAGTACCGTAGTGAAGCAGGCTGTGGGCAGGTATCCTTCCTTTCCGTTCTGAAGTCGGGCATAGCACCAGTCAGCATTCTCCTGATACAGCAGCAACACCACATCACCGG